TATCAGCATAGAAGATGTTGAGCATGTGTTGGGCTTGCCGAGGGGAAATATTAAGATAAGTAACAAAGCAAGGAGTGAGAAATGTAGCTTGGTTGAGGAGTGGAGAGCAGAATTTGGCAAGAAGGATAATAGGATAACGCCGTTGGAGTTGGGTCAGAAGCTGTTGACATACGAGGAGGGTGGGGTGTGGTTTGTTCGCCATTTTGTGTTGTTGGTAGTGGCACTTCTCGTAGATACTCCAAGCCATGGTTACGTTAACCCTGCTGTGTTGAAGAACATAGCTAACATTGATTCAGTAATGAGATTGAATTGGTGTGAATATGTGCACAGGACATTGATAGACAGTGCAATCAGATGGGAGGATGGAAAGAGTAAATACTTCACAGGACCATTCATGTTTCTGATGGTATGGTTCACATGCACTATACTAAATTTGTATACATATTTTATTGAATTTGTTTTGCATGTAGCTAATTTTTTCTCTACGTTGTAGGTTTTCTATGTTGATAGGGTGGTTCTTTACAATAGGGATGTGGAGAGGACAGCACCTGCTTTTGTTGGCTGGACATCAAAGATACTTAGGGATAGAGAGAATAAAGAAGTGAAGGCTGGTGGATTTGGTTTGGGATTTGACGATGGAAAGTATGTGTGTGAGAAATCTGTAGCTGAGGAAAACAACGCGGATGACAATGCAAAGGGGGCAGAAGGCATTGAGGTTCGAGGAGAGAAAGATTCTATTTTGAGAGAAGGCACTCAGCAGACTGAGATGCGAGATGAGGATGGTGATGTCTTGAAGGTAGCAAGTTAGATGTTACAGTGAAAATGCACTGAACATGCCCTATATTTTTATTGATAATGCGCATACTTTCTTATATTATGATTCATTATGCATCAGGTTTTTCTTAAAAAGTTTGCAGAAAAGGGTAAGATGCTGGCAAAGACAGTCGTGGAGTTAGTGTCGTTAATGGAGGGTGCACCAGCTGAGGCGATGAAGAACGATGTTTATGTGGAATTGCAGATTGCTGCTGGAAGGTTACTGGGATTAGTGAATAAAAAT